ATTATTACACCGCCACCTGCCGGCTGGATCCATTATTACACCGCCACCTGCCGGCTGGATCCATTATTACACCGCCACCTCCCGGCTGGATCCATTATTACACCGCCACCTCCCGGCTGGACCCATTATTACACCGCCACCTGCCGGCTGGATCCATTATTACACCGCCACCTGCCGGCTGGAGCCATTATTACACCGCCACCTGCCGGCTGGAGCCATTATTACACCGCCACCTGCCGGCTGGATCCATTATTCCACCGCCCCCTGCCGGCTGGAGCCATTATTACACCGCCACCTGCCGGCTGGAGCCATTATTACACCGCCACCTGCCGGCTGGAGCCATTATTACACCGCCCCCTGCCGGCTGGATCCATTATTACACCGCCCCCTGCAGGCTGGAGCCATTATTACACTGCTCCATGTCGGCTGGACCCATTATTACACCGCTCCCTGCTGGTTGGACACATTATTACATAGCCCTCTGCCCGCTGGATTCAGCATTATACGGCCTTCTGCCAGCTGGATTCATTATTACATGGCCTGTGCTTACTCTATTTATTATTATACTGCCCCCCACTGGCTGGATTCACTATTACACTGTCCCCTGCACACGTGATTAATTATTACACTGTCTGTGTTGGCTCGATTCATTATTACACCTCTCCTTGCTGGCTGGACTCATTATTACACTGCTCCCTGCTGGCTGGATTCACTATTACAATGTCCCCTGCTGGCTGGATTCACTATTACACTGTCCCCTGCACGCGTGATTATTACACGGTCTGTGCCAGTTCGATTCATTGGTACACTGTCCACCACTTTCTGGATTAAATATTACACTGCCCCGTGCCTACTGGATTCATTATTACACTACCCTCTGCCGGCTCCATTAATTTTTACACTGTCCTGTCCCGGCTGGGGTCATAATTATAGAAGCCCCTGCTGGCTGGATTCATTATTGCACTGCCCCGTGCCCGCTGGACTCATAATTACATCGCCCCTGCTGGATGGGTTCATTATTACACATCCTTCCTATATCCGAAAAACCTTACAGAATTAGAATGAAAAAAATAAGAGAGACATAATCTTTAACTATAGTTTACTGTACAATTTTCCAAGTGAGCGGTCTCCTTTGATGATGGAAACAAGAAGCCCGAAGTAATAAATATACCACCAAAACATGAATAAAGGCATGACAAGTTGTATATGCATGCAACACTAAGTCCATGCCACATAGCAAACATGCAGCCCCTGTGAACACGTCAATATACACAAAGAGTGCAAGCTCTGCATTAACCCTTCCACAACTGTAATGTTTTTATTAACCTATAGTGGACTCCAATTCTTTATTAACACCAGGAAGATTATAACTGCATTTACCCTTAATGTTTTATTCACTAAGCACCATTTTAGCAAATTAAATGGAAATGGAAAAACTGAGCCAAAACTAGCAAATTTGGAAACATATCTAACTCAGTATTAGTTGCAGACTGGCTAGTTTACCCTCAGATTTGCCATTTTGGTTTATTAAGATAATAATCTGAGTTTAGTGGAAACCAGTGAGAACTGCAGAGTTTTATTGAGCCTGGAGGACAGCACCTCTGCTTAAAACAATGGAGTGTGAAGAGCAGTTGATTAAACCCTGGTGGACTGTAGGGCAGTTAACTCTCGGAGTACTGGATAGTATCACTTGTGAATGGTGAAGGCACTGTGCTCAACGCGCAGGATCTTCTCTTCATTCTGGAAATGCACTTTGGTGATTTTGGATTTTGGACTTCCTTTCTTCTGTAACCATTCCTGCATCTCTCGTACTTTGCTGCTTGGGCCTTGAAGCTGCCCCCTAACTGTTCCGCTGTCAGTGTTCTGAACCCAGCCCACCAGACCCAGGCGTTCTCCCTGTGCCTAGAGTGACAAAGACAGGGCAAACAAAATGTAGGTGGCTGAGCGTATGTGTGTATATATATATATATATATATATATATATATATATATATATATATATATATATATATATATATATATATATATATATATATATATATATAGATAGATGGATTGTGTGCATCTCTGTCTGTGTATATAGAGGTAGATGGACTGTGTGTATCTCTGTCTGTGTATATACAGGTAGATGGATTGTGTGCATCTCTGTCTGTGTATATTGAGGTAGATGGATTTTGGTTATATATTGAGGTAAACTGAATGACTCTGGTTATGTCTGTCTGTGGTTATGGAGGTAGATAGGTTTCATTGTGTCTGTACTAAGATTCATTCCCATGCTATCGTACTGAATGGTGGCTTTGTTTCAGACAGAGATATATTACCTGAGTGTGCTTGCGGAAGAAAACTCCCTGAACCTTCCCAAACACTTCATAATCCAGGGAGATGAGCTGTTCCCCTTCAGCCATGCTGTATTCTGAAATGCACAGATATGTTACAAAGGTATCTCAGCATGGGCTCAATACTAATCAACACGATGGCGTTAGCAATACAAAATGGTGTTCCTAGCACCATAGTACCACTGTCCCTAGTTGTATACAGACCCACGCTTTCCATTAAAATGTACAAAATAAAGCTTTAGGCTCCTTTTTCCAGCACCTAGTTCCCTCGGGTCTGGTCACGTCTCCCCCCACACACATCGTAATAAAGGAGGAATAGGCTCCTGCGGCGATGGTCCAATTCAAGATGAGATGTACGCCTCAATGTTTCTCATAGCAAAGCACAAAATCCAATGCTGTCCTATGAGTTTCCTTACCACATTACAGAGTATTACTGGGTCAGTGCCACGACGTGCCTCTAGTGGCTGCCAGATTTAATCCTGTAACCACCAAATGTCACACAATGCGTTCACCCCACATATTATGTCACACAGTGCGTGCACCCCAGATATTATCCTGTAACCGCCATATAATGTCACACAGTGCCTGCACCCCAGATATTATCCTGTAACCCCCATATAATGTCACACAGTGCGTGCACCCCAGATATTGTCCTGTAACCCCCATATAATGTCACACAGTGCGTGCACCCCAGATATTATCCTGTAACCCCCATATAATGTCACACAGTGCCTGCACCCCAGATATTATCCTGTAACCCCCATATAGTGTCACACAGTGCCTGCACCCCAGATATTATCCTGTAACCCCCATATAGTGTCACACAGTGCCTGTACCCCAGATATTATCCTGTAACCCTCATATAGTGTCACACAGTGCGTGCACCCCAGATATTATCCTGTAACCCCCATATAATGACACACAGTGCGTGCACCCCAGATATCCTGTAACCCTCATATAGTGTCACACAGTGCCTGCACCCCAGATATTATCCTGTAACCCCATATAATGTCACACAGTGTGCACCCCAGATATTATCCTGTAACCCCCATATAATGTCACACACTGCCTGCACCCCAGATATTATCCTGTAACCCCCATATAGTGTCACACAGTGCCTGCACCCCAGATATTATCCTGTAACCCCCATATAGTGTCACACAGTGCCTGCACCCCAGATATTATCCTGTAACCCCCATATAGTGTCACACAGTGCCTGCACCCCAGATATTATCCTGTAACCCCCATATAGTGTCACACAGTGCCTGCACCCCAGATATTATCCTGTAACCCCCATATAGTGTCACACAGTGCGTGCACCCCAGATATTATCCTGTAACCCCCATATAGTGTCACACAGTGCCTGCACCCCAGATATTATCCTGTAACCCCCATATAGTGTCACACAGTGCCTGCACCCCAGATATTATCCTGTAACCCCCATATAGTGTCACACAGTGCCTGCACCCCAGATATTATCCTGTAACCCCCATATAGTGTCACACAGTGCGTGCACCCCAGATATTATCCTGTAACCCCCATATAATGTCACACAGTGCCTGCACCCCAGATATTATCCTGTAACCCCCATATAGTGTCACACAGTGCCTGCACCCCAGATATTATCCTGTAACCCCCATATAGTGTCACACAGTGCCTGCACCCCAGATATTATCCTGTAACCCCCATATAGTGTCACACAGTGCCTGCACCCCAGATATTATCCTGTAACCCCCATATAGTGTCACACAGTGCCTGCACCCCAGATATTATCCTGTAACCCCCATATAGTGTCACACAGTGCCTGCACCCCAGATATTATCCTGTAACCCCCATATAATGTCACACAGTGCCTGCACCCCAGATATTATCCTGTATTATCCTGTAACCCCCATATAGTGTCACACAGTGCCTGCACCCCAGATATTATCCTGTAACCCCCATATAGTGTCACACAGTGCCTGCACCCCAGATATTATCCTGTAACCCCCATATAGTGTCACACAGTGCCTGCACCCCAGATATTATCCTGTAACCCCCATATAGTGTCACACAGTGCCTGCACCCCAGATATTATCCTCTAACCCCCATATAGTGTCACACAGTGCCTGCACCCCAGATATTATCCTCTAACCCCCATATAGTGTCACACAGTTCCTGCACCCCAGATATTATCCTGTAACCCCCATATAGTGTCACACAGTGCGTGCACCCCAGATATTATCCTCTAACCCCCATATAGTGTCACACACTGCCTGCACCCCAGATATTATCCTGTAACCCCCATATAGTGTCACACACTGCCTGCACCCCAGATATTATCCTCTAACCCCCATATAGTGTCACACAGTGCCTGCACCCCAGATATTATCCTGTAACCCCCATATAGTGTCACACAGTGTTGGTAATATTGAGGTTTACTGACCTGCAGACACGGTTGCTATGGTAACAGGTATTACTTCCGGTGCTCTGACAATGCTGTTCGTTTCCAGTTCGGAGGGGTAGGTACTCGGACTGGAATTAGAACTCACCGGCAGGATATCGCTGTCTCTGGTGTTTAGCACTCAGTGGCAGGGAGATTGCAGGATATCGCTGTCTCTGGTGTTTAGCACTCAGTGGCTGGGACATTGCAGGATGTCGCTGTCTCTGGTGTTTAGCACTCAGTGACAGGGACATTGCAGGATATCGCTGTCTCTGGTGTATAGCACTCAGTGGCTGGGACATTGCAGGATATCGCTGTCTCTGGTGTTTAGCACTCAGTGGCAGGGACATTGCAGGATATCGCTGTCTCTGGTGTATAGCACTCAGTGGCTGGGACATTGCAGGATATCGCTGTCTCTGGTGTTTAGCACTCAGTGGCAGGGACATTGCAGGATATCGCTGTCTCTGGTGTATAGCACTCAGTGGCTGGGACATTGCAGGATATCGCTGTCTCTGGTGTTTAGCACTCAGTGGCAGGGACATTGCAGGATATCGCTGTCTCTGGTGTATAGCACTCAGTGGCTGGGACATTGCAGGATATCGCTGTCTCTGGTGTTTAGCACTCAGTGACAGGGACATTGCAGGATATCGCTGTCTCTGGTGTTTAGAACGCTTCCCACTCCGGAAGTGACGGTTGCTTAGAAACGATCACAACATCACAGGCAGCGATCCCATGCGGTATGTACTGCGCGCTATTTATTATTATTTACCCCGCGCTATATGGGGGTAATAACAGCGTACCCCGCGCTATATGGGGGTAATAACAGCGTACCCCGCGCTATATGGGGGTAATAACAGCGTACCCCGCACTATATGGGGGTAATAACAGCGTACCCCGTGCTATATGGGGGTAATAACAGCGTACCCCGCGCTATATAGGGGTAATAACAGCGTACCCCGCGCTATATGGGGGTAATAACAGCGTACCCCGTGCTATATGGGGGTAATAACAGCGTACCCCGTGCTATATGGGGGTAATAACAGCGTACCCCGTGCAATATGGGGGTAATAACAGCGTACCCGGCGCTATATGGGGGTAATAACAGCGTACCCCGCGCTATATGGGGGTAATAACAGTGTACCCCTGCTATATGGGGGTAATAGCGTACCCCGCGCTATACGGGGGTAATAACAGCGTACCCCGCGCTACATGGGGGTAATAACAGCGTACCCCGCGCTACATGGGGGTAATAACAGCGTACCCCGCGCCGTGCTATATGGGGGTAATAACAGCGTACCCCACACCGTGCTATATGGGGGTAATAACAGCGTACCCCGCGCCGCGCTATATGGGGCAACAGTGTACCCTGCGCTATATGGGGGCAATAACAGCGTACCCCGCGCTATATGGGGCTAATAACAGCGTACCCCGTGCTATATGGGGGTAATAACAGCGTACCCCGTGCTATATGGGGGTAATAACAGCGTACCCCACACCGTGCTATATGGGGGTAATAGTGTACCCCGTGCTATATGGGAGTAATACCAGCGTACCCCACGCTATATGGGGGTAATAACAGCATACCCCGTGCTATATGGGGGTAATAACAGCGTACCCCGTGCTATATGGGGGTAATAACAGCGTACCCCGTGCTATATGGGGGTAATAACAGCGTACCCCACACCGTGCTATATGGGGGTAATAACAGCGTACCCCGTGCTATATGGGGGTAATAACAGCGTACCGCTATATAGAGGTAATAACAGCGTACCGCTATATATAGGGGTAATAACAACCCACGCTATATAGAGTAATAATAAGCGTACCCAGCGCGCTATATGAGCAATAACAAGCGTACTTAGCGCTATATAGGAGCAACAAGCGTACCCAGCTATATGGGAGCAATAACGCCATTACCCAGCGCTATATAGAGGTAATAATAAGCGTACCCAGCAGCGCTATATAAGGGGAGTAATATAAGCGTACCCCGCGCTATATGGGGGTAATAACAGCGTACCCCGCGCCGCGCTATATGGGGCAACAGCGTACCCCGCGCTATATGGGGCAATAACAGCATACCCCGCGCTATATGGGGGCAATAACAGCGTACCCCACGCTATATGGGGGTAATAACAGCGTACCCCTGCTATATGGGGGTAATAATAGCGTACCCCGCGCTATACGGGGGTAATAACAGCGTACCCCGCGCTACATGGGGGTAATAACAGCGTACCCCGCGCTACATGGGGGTAATAACAGCGTACCCGTGCTATATGGGGGTAATAATAGCATACCCCGTGCTATATGGGGGTAATAACAGCATGCCCCGTGCTATATGGGGGTAATAGCGTACCCCGTGCTATATGGGGGTAATAACAGCGTACCCCACACCGTGCTATATGGGGGTAATAACAGTGTACCCCGTGCTATATGGGGGTAATAATAGCATACCCCGTGCTATATGAGGGTAATAACAGCGTACCCCGCGCTATATGGGGGTAATAGCGTACTCGGCGCTATATGGGGGTAATAACACCGTAACCGGCGCTGCGCTATATGGGGGTAATAACAGCGCACCCCGCGCCGCGCAAAATGGGGGTAATAACAGTGTATGCCTCGCTATATGGGGGTAATAACAGCGTACCCCGCGCCGTGCTATATGGGGGTAATAACAGCGTACCCTGCGCCGTGCTATATGGGGGTAATAGCGTACCCCGTGCTATATGGGGGTAATAACAGCGTACCCCACACCGTGCTATATGGGGGTAATAACAGCGTACCCCGTGCTATATGGGGGTAATAGCATACCCCGTGCTATATGGGGGTAACAGCGTACCCCGCGCTATATGGGGGCAATAACAGCGTACCCCGCGCTATATGGGGGCAATAACAGCGTACCCCGCGCTATATGGGGGTAATAACAGTGTACCCCGTGCTATATGGGGGTAATAACAGCGTACCCCGCGCTACATGGGGGTAATAACAGCGTACCCCGCGCCGTGCTATATGGGGGTAATAGCGTACCCCGTGCTATATGGGGGTAATAGCGTACCCCGTGCTATATGGGGGTAATAACAGTGTACCCCGTGCTATATGGGGGTAATAATAGCGTACCCCGTGCTATATGGGGGTAATAACAGCGTACCCCACACCGTGCTATATGGGGGTAATAACAGTGTACCCCGTGCTATATGGGGGTAATAATAGCATACCCCGTGCTATATGAGGGTAATAACAGCGTACCCCGCGCTATATGGGGGTAATAACAGCGTACCCCGCGCTGCGCTATATGGGGGTAATAACAGCGTACCCGGCGCTGCGCTATATGGGGGTAATAACAGCGTACCCCGCGCCGCGCAAAATGGGGGTAATAACAGTGTATGCCGCGCTATATGGGGGTAATAACAGCGTACCCCACGCCGTGCTATATGGGGGTAATAACAGCGTACCCTGCGCCGTGCTATATGGGGGTAATAGCGTACCCCGTGCTATATGGGGGTAATAGCATACCCTGTGCTATATGGGGGTAATAACAGCATGCGCCGCGCTATATGGGGGTAATAACAGCGTACCCCGTGCTATATGGGGGTAATAACAGCGTACCCGGCGCCGCGCTATATGGGGGTAACAGCGTACCCCGTGCCGCGCAAAATGGGTTTAATAACAGTGTATGCCGCGCTATATGGGGGTAATAACAGCGTACCCCGCGCCGTGCTACATGGGGGTAGTAACAGCGTACCCTGCGCCGTGCTATATGGGGGTAATAACAGCGTACCCCGTGCTATATGGGAGTAATAACAGCGTACCCCGCGCCGCGCAAAATGGGGGTAATAACAGTGTATGCCGCGCTATATGTGGGTAATAACAGCGTACCCCGCGCCGTGCTATATGGGGGTAATAACAGCGTACCCTGCGCCGTGCTATATGGGGGTAATAACAGCGTACCTCGCGCCGCGCTATATGGGGATAATAACAGCGTACCCCACGCCGTGCTATATGGGGGTAATAACAGCGTACCCCGCACCGTGCTATATGGGGGTAATAACAGTGTACCCTGCGCCATGCTATATGTACTCCGCGCCATGCTATATGGGGGTAATAACAGCGTACCCCGCGCCATGCTTTATGGGGGTAATAACAGCGTACCCCGCACCGTGCTATATGGGGGTAATAACAGTGCAGCCCGCACTGTGCTATATGGGGGTAATAACAGTGTACCCCACACCGTGCTATGTGGCGGTAATTACCGGGTATCCAACACATTATATGGGGGGTAATTACCAGGTACCTCAGGCAGTGTTACACATTGGTAGTAATCTGGTCCACCAACCAGCACATGTGTTCGTGGTGCTGCAGCTGTGGTGCTTTTTAAATCTGGTGATTCTCTGTCAAATATATTGGCATCTGCCGATTGGTCTTGGGAACCAACCTTTATGGTGCCTTTAGAGTCCCTTTGACATGCTCCCTAACTGAACACATGCCACAATTCCCATTAAAAGGTAAAAGTAAGGGAATTGGAAGAATGGTTCTAATTAACTCAAACTTTTCTTTCTTTACAGACTGGCATGGCAAGACTGAAAGGGGCACCAAGCCTCTACGAGGGCATTGCTGATGCAAAGTTTCCTACCCTCAAGACAGAGCTGCAGCCCAGTAAATTACAGTCAAGACTTGAAGTGATGAGGAATGATTTCCAGGAAAGGGCATTTCGAGAGAGGGAACAGAAACTTCTCAGCCTTGTTAAACATGAGACAAGTGTACCATATAACCATGCGGAAAAAAGGTATACCTTTCATCAATCCCCCGGCTCACACTCGGCCCCTTGGACAGCAGAAGAGAAAAGCTGGGCTTCAAACTGGACTGTATCCAAAAGGAGTGCTGGGATCGATCGAGCTCACCCTCTCAAACCAGTCATCTATCGTAAATCTCCAGCTCAGATCCCATCAGAATTCAACAACATGCAGCGCTCCTCATCAGTCAATGTCACTGGGACCAAACATCAAAACCTGCTTCCAAGAAACATCCAATCAAATTCTGGCCCCACTCAAGCAGAGCCTTGGCGTGAGCTACAGAAAACAGAATCCAGTTTGGAAGCTGAAATCCGGAGGAAGCAAGCTCTGCTGAGGGAAAAGCTGCGTAGAACTGAGGAAGAATTACGCAGGATCCAAAGGGAAAAGGAGGAAGCAACCGAGCGAGAAATAGATCAAACTCAGAAGAAAACAGTAAAAAACTATTATCATCTTGGCAACAGATCAGATCTAGATGAAGATTATAGGAGTTATGGAATCCTGAAGAAAGCAGAGTTCAAATCCTCCCCACAGCCCAAACCTCTCCCTCGGGCTCCGAGCCCCAAATTTACAGAAGAGCAGCATCCAGAGAGAATGAGGAGGCAGATGCCATCGGCAGGAGAGAATGTTAGAAAAAGATCCACTCAGCCAATTCTCCTGAAACATGCAGAGGAGGTCAGTGGTTCCCCACTTCTGAGAACAACGCACCATCACTTTGATAGACACACAGAGCTCTCATCTGATGCGGAGGATGAATTGCCTGCAGAGAGTGAGCTAGTACCCTGCCAGTCATGTGGACGACGGTTCATGGTACAACGTCTGGAGAAACATGCTCAGGTCTGTGAGAAGATGCAAAGCTCAAAAAGAAAAGTGTTTGATTCATCCAAAGCCAGAGCAAAGGGGACCGAGCTGGAGCAATACTTACAACTCAAAGGCAAACCCTCATCTAGAGAACCCCAGGTACTTACCACTTTAATTAAAGTACATAGAACCCCATTATCGCCCTGGTTCCTCTAATTATAGAATCCAAAACTCCATCTGGGCTTTGCCCCTCCCCCCAATGACACAAGCTAGAACTGCAGATGAACTCCACTCCTAGAACCCCACATGACTTCTGCCCCTTTAGTGTCATTTAGCAGCTCAGGTGAGCTTCCTCTCTGACACCAATCAGAATCTGATATAAGCTTTCCCCTCAACTAGAAGTCAAAGTGAGGTCTGACAACAATTAGACCAACACTTGAGCTCAGCCCTCTCTCTAAATGACACTAACTAGAGGCTGAAATAAGACGACTCATTACAGCGTGGAAGAGTACTGCACAAGGTCTATAAACAGGCAGTGTGTTGGGAATGACCTCTAGCACATTCTCAGAGACTCTTCTCACACTTTCATAGCATTAAAGATATGAGATTCCTCATGGTCAGAATTTCACTCTTCGTAGGTGGGGGTGGGAAAATCACAACTCCTCCTTCCAAAATACATATTTTTCACTTGAGGGATCGCAACAGTTCATCTGAGTAGCTGAGACAACACGCAGAGCTAAGGTTTTGCATTTGTCTATATAATTTACATGGCTCAAGAGGAGTATTTAATGGTAATATTAATTCCTCATGTGAAAATATCTATACATCGTGCTAGCAAATTTGCTAACCAATGAACAGATTATTGGAAAAATTGAACCCCCCTTCCTGTCACTATCAACATGCAATCTATGCCAATCTCAGCAAGAGAACACTCCTAGATCCTGTTCTCTTGCTCTCTTCAAATAAAGTAACTGTGCATGTGTTACATTTTAATTTGGAGTTTCCCCAGCATCGGCCTCTGGAGAGCTGACAATATAGCCCATATTGCCAGTTTGTTACATGTACTGCATGTGATAAGGCTGTTCATCTTTATCACCTCCACAATAGAATTACTGTTTCCTGGCAAGGCTCCTTCAAAGGACTAAGGGTTCTCCCTTCAACCAGCGCTGGACGTGAAATAACTGACGTCATTCCGTTCAAATGGTAATGAAACCAACACATCAGTGTCATCAGGTGGGGCAGTGCCAGGTGTAGGGAAGCCACTCAAGACTTCCTAAAGTTTGGCAGGCCTAATAACAGCATTCAAGCCCCTGATGGAAGGCTTATGGCGGACCTGAAACCATTTTGAAAGGAGGTAAGTATCTCGAAACTCCATGAAGCTTCATAGAAAGTGGGGGGAAAAAAGCTATACATTTGTTACATTTTACAAGAGTTTTACTTTATGATTATTTTCTCTAATGTTGCTATTCTTTAAAGATTTCACCATTTCTTCCTGGGTGCCACTGTCATCTCTAGCCATTTCCCAGAATGCTCTGCCTCATTCCAGTCACAGCCATTTTTTTAACATTTTCTTCATTTAATGAACTTGCAATGACTGACTCTTTTGTATTTTGCAGCAAGTTCGCAATAACGCCTGGCGTCAAAAGCATGAAACTTTCCTGCGCACAATTCGCCAGGCACGTACAGTGCAGCAGGTTATCGCCAAAGGAGGCAAACCATCAGATGTGCCGCCTCCACCCCCTGATGAAAATCCAGATTATATTACCTGCCCTCACTGCAGCCGCAGGTTCGCCCCACGTGCAGCTGAAAGACACATCCCAAAATGTGAGACTATAAAGAGCAAACCTCGGCCTCCACCACAACGCAGACGCTAACACAAATATCTTGATATCTAACCAAGAGTTTATTCTATAACTGGGAAATGTGGAGAATAAACTTCTGCTTCTTTGAAAAACTAACAGATCTTTCAGGGACCCATATCTCTCATCATTCCCAGAGTTTGCACATTAAATGTACTGTGTTTTATTTTATTTTTTGTACTGTAATAAATCCAAGTATACACTGCAGGTGATTGGATAAAGCACACTGTTCTTAGTGGGTGGGGGCGATTGCTTTGGCTGATCCCATACAGTGCAACAATACAGTCCAAACATTGGCAGTGAGAGTAAGGCCACATGGTGAGTAAAAGGGAACACAAAATAAGATTTAAAATAAAAAAGGAGCCGCACTAAGAGTGTCCAGATAAATATACCCCAGCTTACCTCCCCCACCCCAAAAAAATATCTGTTCACTGCCCCATCAGCTATTATCAGGTGCACAGAGGCCAATAACTTAAGATCCGGCACAGTAATAGAGGAGCTGCTGGTGCACCATCTTCTCCAGCTCAGGGATGTCATTGTGTCCATCACATTGTTGTCCCAGAGACAGATCGAGGGGCCTCGGTACCCAAGAAGCACCAGGAGTCTGCATCTGAATCTTCCCTTGAGGTGTCAGCATTGTTGGCCATAGGTTGTGTTCCTTTTAGACATGTTACCTGAAGAAAGTAAACAAAATTACCATCTTCAGCTACATTAGGATTGTTCCATTGATACTTTTCACACTCACTGTCCTAATACAAAGCTAATGGACACAAACACCTTTACACTACTGTGATTTGTGCTCACACAGAAAATTGAGAAGTCTATTTTATAGAGGGAAGGGCGGGAGGGGGTTTTAAGGGCGATCATTTGTTCCCTCCTATGCTCTGAGTGGTCACTGACCATTATTTTAATTTTAGTGATGATGATTAACAGGAGCAGGGTCGCGTAGTTATCTTTCCCAGCTTTCTATAAAGTATAACTCTACATACAGCGCTGAAACACAGGTTTACATACAGATAAACACTTGACTGAGTTGCTAGTGTCCAGAAATCCAAATTATCCAGAAATTCCTACAAAGCAGCTCAGTATTGCTCCAGCACACACTCATACACTGCACTGAGCATTTAGGTTGGGAGAGGATCACATGCACTGGATCTGCTAGATGTAGTGACAAAGCAAAGTCTGCACTGTGTATATCGGGCATATTTATTATATTATTATACTTTTTGTAATTATTTAAGTTAATAATTTAAAAGAGTCCTTAAGCCATATATACCTGTCTCTGGAGCTGCTGGATTGCTTCACCGTGTTTGCTCAGGATCTGACTTTGCTAGAAAAAGAAGAAAACATTCTTTATCTGCCTACGTTCCTCTTCAATTCTTTGTAATAAAAACTAGATGTGAATCTTTGCAAGGCACACTTGTTCTAGACCAGAGAGAAGAGCAGTTCTGGTGTTTTACCTGTGTGACTCCCTGTAGCTTGTCATTAAGTTTCTGCACCTCCATTGCCAGCCGTGCGTTCTCCCTGCGGAGCTCTTCCTGTGCACTCATACAGGAGGACACCACGTTCTGCAGCCTTTCCACTTCTGCTTGCAATGAGCTGCATGTACAAGAATGGTTACTGGGCTCCTGAAAACAAACAGAACAGGCAATCAGGAAACAGCATTAGATCAAAGTCACGAGAGCCGTTGCGTACGCTTTTAGGTACCTGGAGAGGTTTCCAAGAGCTTACATTTCTTTCTAGAAGCTGTAATTCAGGTTTCTCACTCACGTCCTCTAGCTTTAACATAGGGCTTTTACTCTCTTCCTGCAGTTTTAGTTCTGAATTCTCACTCTGTTCCTCCAAGGAGGACAAAGACACCTCTTGGGTGGGCTCCAAACCAAAAGATGATGGTGTCTCTGGCATCGGGATAAACTCCGCTTCCTCGAGCTCCTAGTGAAAGGAAATAAATCAATAATGGTCTATTCTACTCCCTGTGTTTCCATACAGAATTAGCTTGTTCAAAGTGTAGAGGTTTTAACCCCTTAAGGACCAAACTTAATCTTTAAGTTTGGATTCCAATATTGTTGAATGGGTAAGGCAGAGGCTGAGTGACAGGCAACAGAGGGTTGTAGTTAATGGAATATATTCGAAACTTGGACTTGTCACCAGTGGGGTACCTCAGGGATCTGTACTTGGACCCATTCTCTTTAATATTTTAATTAGTGATATTGCAGAAGGTCTTGAAGGTAAGGTATGTCTTTTTGCTGATGATACGAAGATATGTAACAGGGTTGATGTTCCAGGAGGGATAAGCCAAATGGCAAATGATTTAGTTAAACTAGAAAAGTGGTCAGAATTGTGGCAACTGACATTTAATGTGGATAAGTGCAAGATAATGCATCTTGGACGTAAAAACCCAAGGGCAGAGTACAGAATATTTGATCGAGTCCTAACCTCAACATCTGAGGAAAAGGATTTAGGGGTGATTATTTCTGATGACTTAAAGGTAGGCAGACAATGTAATAGAGCAGCAGGAAATGCTAGCAGAATGCTTGGTTGTATAGGGAGAGGTATTAGCAGTAGAAAGAGGGAAGTGCTCATGCCATTGTACAGAACACTGGTGAGACCTCACTTGGAGTATTGTACACAGTACTGGAGACCGTATCTTCAGAAGGATATTGATACCTTAGAGAGGGTTCAGAGAAGGGCTACTAAACTGGTTCATGGATTGCGGGATAAAACTTACCAGGAAAGGTTAAAGGATCTTAACATGTATAGCTTGGAGGAAAGACGAGACAGGGGGGATATGATAGAAACATTTAAATATATAAAGGGAATCAACACAGTAAAGGAGGAGACTATATTTAAAAGAAGAAAAACTACCACAACAAGAGGACATAGTCTTAAATTAGAGGGACAAAGGTTTAAAAATAATATCAGGAAGTATTACTTTACTGAGAGGGTAGTGGATGCATGGAATAGCCTTCCAGCTGAAGTGGTAGAGGTTAACACAGTAAAGGAGTTTAAGCATGCGTGGGATAGGCATAAGGCTATCCTAACTATAAGATAAGGCCAGGGACTAATGAAAGTATTTAGAAAATTGGGCAGACTAGAAGGGCCGAATGGTTCTTATCTGCCGTCACATTCTATGTTTCTATGTTGTTACTATAAGCTAAAAAAATTTTAAAAAGTGCTTTTGGAAGTACGAAACGCAAGCATACATGCTGCCACCATTCCCAAACATGACATGATCCTCATTCTTCAATTCCAAGCAAGCAGGTTCATGATAGGAACAGTGGGATATTGCAGCATTACAAAAGGTGCTGTTACACTCGGCCCCCATACATGTAGTCTTTACTGCAATGCAGATGGTCATAAAACACAGGACAGTCATAATGGAAAAAAAAAATATATATATATATATATATATTTATTTTTTTTTGTTACTTGGTGTCACTACAAAAGCAGGGCTTGAAAAATTACATGTGCCAGGCTGCTATGGCGACCAGGACGTTTGTCCTGGTCCTGGGCTATGTGAGGCCATTCCCTCTGCACGTACTGTAGGCATGCAGTGAAAGAGCTATGATCTTACTGCTCTGCTCCCTCTCGCTGGAGCCAGAATATGACCCAACTCCGGCATCACTAAGCAGCGCGCGAGGAAGCAGAGCAGTAAGATCATAGCCGATACACTTCAGCTCTCCCAAACATAGGGAGGCTGAGTGGAATAAAACGGTTTTCATTTGTGAGTGTGTGTGTCTGTCTGTCAGTGAGTGTGTATGTTTAGGTGACTAGCCCCCTCTGATCTTGTGGGAATGGTGTTTTAACTCACCTTTTGTCTTGCACTGTGCCAGTCTCCCCGCAACTGGCCTCTATGGCCAAGATCATGAAGTTTGATGATCTCAGCCAATCCAATGCTTTCCCATAGCAAAGAATTGGGACGTTATTGTGCAAAACACTATGCAGCACTGAGATAGGAATCACTTAAGTGGCAGTCTGAGTGACTGCCAATATTGGTGTTGCAAGGCAGTAATGTTAACATGGCCTTTTCTATAAAAAGGCAGTATTTACATTTAAAACATGCAACCAGAACCACTACATTAATCTGTAGTAGTCCTGGTGACTATAGTATCCCATATATCTAGAACATTTATAGATAAAATGTTATGTTCCTTAATATGAAACCAAGTCAAGATAGGCTTGGCTGCGGCACCACACCTTAAAGATATGGTAAAAGTTTAGTTTTAAATTTCAGCAAACCCACATTTTACAGCAGTCAGGGGACGGCTTTAGTTTATTCTCACCTGGACAGGTGTGCTTGATTAGGGTCTGAATTCAAACTGGATTCTGATTGGCTAAAAAAAAAAAAAAAAAAAAAGCAGCCAATCCAAATACAGCTTTGAATTTTAAAAAGGTAGTTTATCTGCAGTTCCCATTCATTGATTTCTAGAAATGCCAGGTGGTGAGTATTTTTTTTAATAGCGATTTGCACTTGTTTCTGTTGCTGTTTTATATAAAATTTATCTGGAAGAAACAGCAAGCAAAAAATATTTTCTACATTGCACCGTTTGACCCCGTTATGACAGGAGCTATGGAAATCTCTTTGTATCCTGGCAGCCCTGGCAAGTGAATTTACCTTTAAGGGTTTAGCCAGAAGGGTAGTTTAGAGGTTCTGCACCTATTCACGTGCATCTTCCCAAATCAGTATTACCCCATAGTGATTGCTCCTCTGTAATTCCTTCACCGTCATTCATATACGCAGAACGTGATTTGGAAAATCTTCCCAAAAGACCAAATATACTCCGTGTATAATTGGCATTTGCAGTCCCTGGGGTTAATTCTCTTCCCCCTCTCCCCCCCAACAAGATACCAAAATCCTGTTAAATGCCAAGCACCATGTGAGTGATTTGGAGTGGTCATGGTGTCTAGAGTCTGTAAGTGCAGTGTTTCACTATAAAACCCTGCATATAGAAAGTTAAACCCCAGCTCCTGCAGCAGCAGCATCATCATCATCATTCGGGTGTTATTGGCCAGCCTGGAGCTAGTGTGCCATTCATTGGCTGAATGTGGGCAACTGATGCTCTAAGCCAATGAATGGCGACTGGATAGAATTCTGTCTTCTGCCAGTCGACAAGCAAGGAACCTCAGAGCCTAGTGGGACCCATGAAACAAGACAAACTGCTGCTAAATGGTCTTACCCATTAGCATGGCACCAGATCAGGGTTCTCCTAATATCATTACCACTACAGTGGATTCACCATCAAATAGCATACCTTAATTTTAAAATGTAAACAGTCAATCAGTAACATTTACATGCTTAGCAGCAGCATTCCCAGAGTCCTCTTCCTGCTGTCAGTGAAACAGGATAATGGGAGTAGAAGCTGTAATTGGTGATAGAGACTCGATACTTTATCACAAAAAGTTATTCTAGTCTAAAGCCTGCAAATCAATGCTTAAAACGGTCTTCCCTCTGTACATCACATTCTACATGTAGAAGACATGGCATCTGTCTGTGACATAGGAATAGCACTACATGCCTTGAAAGGAGTACCAACTCAGCAGCACCAGCAGGACAGGATAATAAACTGTGGTTGTTCCAATTACCTGTCGGAGCCAGCTGGGACAAGAGCTGCTCTCCATATTTTCTGTCATACTGAATGGACGAGTTTCTGGCTCTGCCTCTATGGTGCCACGAAACCCTTCA